TGGGGACCACGGGTCTAGACTCTAGACCAATGGTCCCGAATGCCGTGCCCGCAGGCGCCATGACACTCTCTGGGACATTTATGTGCACCCGCCGAGTGACCAGGGCCGACCCAAGCCATTCTTGCGCCCCGGGCCCCAGGCGCACAGTACATGCGCGGCCCCACCCCCAGGCACCCAGCAGCCCCAAAAAGTTGGGGACCACTGGTCTAGACAGTACTGGGTCCTGCCGTGAAGACAGGGGACTGGACTCGATGACCTCTCATGGTCCCCTCCAGTTCTAGTGTTCTAGGATTCTATGACATTCAAAACTTTTCAGGTAACCAGGAATTTGGACAAGCAGAACTGTTAGAGAATTTAGTGCTGGAAGCAAGAGGGAGTCAGACAGGGTGCGGCCAAACTGCTTCCCTGTGTGCTGAAGTGATGTGTTTCATGAAGAGATTCCAAAGGGAGGCAGAGAAGAGGGCAGAGGAGAGAAAAGAAGAAGGAAAGACTCGGGGGAGGGAGGAGACACAGGAGAAAGAAGCATTCCTGGTGCTGCTATACCATAACTGCTAGCCCTGGATTAGTGAGCGATCCCTACCCTTAACTATGTGTACTTGTCCTTGTGGCTTTGAGTGCCACTATGTCCTGGTTTGATGAGATAACATGATCTTGGTAACTAATTGACCGTTCATTATCAGTGGGAAATAGGTCAATGGAGGGATGATAGGAGTTACTATAGAGAACTTTCTGGGTCTCTGGCTGGTGAGTCTTGCCCACATGCTCAGGGTTTAGCTGATCGCCATATTTGGGGTCAGGAAGGAATTTTCCTCCAGGGTAGATTGGCAGAGGCCCTGGAGGTTTTTCGCCTTCCTCTGTAGCATGGTGTACAAATCACAGCTGGAGGATTCTCTGCATCTTGGAGTCTTCAAAGTATTTGAAGGCTTCAATATCTGAGATATAGGTGAGAGGATTATTCTAGGAGGGGCTGGGTGAGATTCTGTGGCCTGCACTGTGCAGGGGGTCAGACTAGATGATCATAATGGTCCCTTCTGACCTTAAAGTCTATGAGTCTATGAGTCTCTAGAAGCAGGAAGGTAGCGCCAGTCTTCTGTGGCTACTCTGCCATTCCCTTCCTCTTCATATAAAGCAATTAAGAAATTCTAGAGAGGAGAATGAAGGTGGTTAGATGATTGTGTTTGTTCTTTCTTCCCTGTTTATCTCTCTCTCCCCAACTTTTCTCTCCTTCCCACCTTCTCCCTCATTCTTCCTCTCCCTCTTTTCTCAATGTCCTGATCCCAAACTCCACCCAAATCACGGATCCAACAGCCCTAAGTCTAGTCACTTTTGAGGTGATTAACCTTGTATTGGGTTGCCAAATGGTTTCAACAAAAATGCCAGACACACTTGACATTACATCACAATCTCCATGACATCTTATTTAGACAATACCAGGCATTTATATTTTCTCAATTTGTTTCCCTAACAGAAAGCTCAAATAGCGGACTCTCTGGTTCAAAACCAGACACCTGGAAACCCTATTAACATACAACTGCAAGGGAGACAGGCAAGGCATACAGCTAATTAGGATTTCTGGATAAAGTGAACTTGAGTAATTGGAATGATCTTACAGATCATTTTAACTTCAGTTAAATAACCAAGTTTTCATTAGGGTAAACAAAATGAATGGAACTGTGACACCTATCCATTAAAACTGGCAGGCGGGGCTGTTCTCCGGGTCTGCATGACCCTGAGTGGTCTCTTTAGATATCTACAAAGTTAATTGAGGTAGGTCAGTCACTCACAAGGTTGACACAGTTGTCTTCATCTCCTTCTGGATCTCAACGCCATTTCCCTAGTTCTGACTTTAAATAAAAGGGTTAATAGGGTGAGTAAAAAGTAGTGATTATAGTTATTACCTAGAGGAGATGCTCTCAGTAGCCAAGTGGAGTCACTCCTACTGGTCTGTCTCTCTCATCCAGTTATCTGAGCTTCATACTGATGGTTTGACCCACCTGCCTGTTTTATACAGTTGCTGAAGGCTTGGTTTCTTCTTGGTTACGTGGTTGTGTGGACCAATCAGAAAGTGACTCTCGCATCTCAGAAAGATATGGACCACAATTTGGATGTTGGAAAGCTTCCAGCCCTGTCTCTGCAAAATCCATGGGGCAACACCTCTTGTTCCACCCCAGATTGTGTAAAACATATTAGGCCACAGGCGTTTGAGCAAAGCCTCTTAGGACATTGTTGTGTGGTTCGGTTTTTAGATCCAAGGGAAACGAGAACACTCCAGAGAGACTTAACCATTCTCCTGTTTATTGCAAGCTTTAAACAGTTAACATAGTTATTTAAGTTTTACAAGCCTTACAATCACTATACAATTTAAAATATTTCAGGTTTAAAATCTAAAGCAATTAATACAGCACACAGCAAGTAATAGAAGACTATTGTAATACAATAATTAAGCCTAGTTCACTTACACTTCACCCATATGCTACCTACAGTACCAGCCAGGAAGTCATGATTCCCTTGTTTCTCACGCATCGGAATGCCAGGCACTGGGCTTGCCAGGGTGAAGGGGTCCATTCCTTCCTGTTCCATCGAAAGCAGGACCTGTGGATCAATCTGCTTATTCCCTCCCACTGATGGTTCTTACTTAACCCAATGTATAGCAAAGGGAGACTTGGTCATTCTAGTAATATCTACCAATCAACTACAGTTTAAGTAAGATACCTATTATGCCAATATCTAGGATACATTTTCCTATACCAAAATATTGCAAAAGTGCTTAATTAATAGTTTTTCTGGCTGACTCTTGAATTTTTCTCATCAAAAAATGGGATGTCCTAGTACCAGGTTGTTTCTGGTCTTTTTGGCCTGGTCTCGCTGTCCGATACAAGTTATGCATAATTGGGCAAGCACTCCTGACTTCCCCCCACACTTTCTGGTCTGGCCTGCGTGTGAGCATACGTGCATGCCCAAGCTTGAGTCAGATCTAGGGTGGTGTGTTAAAGATCCATACTTCGGACAAGGCCAGGGCGAGGCTTAACACTGCAGACGTTGTCCTGGTCACGGCTGTTCTTGTGCAAGAAGCTGCCAGTGTAGACATAGCCTAACTCTTTTAACTGCTTAGGAGTAGCCTTTTTAAAGCCCTGGCTTTCCTTAATAGCCCTGCCCCATGGTTAAGAGTTGATGGGTGCTAAAGAGATTAGGAATCAAAGTCTCATTAACAAGCTTTCAGCTTTGGTTAGCCTGTTACTAGCCACAACACACAGTCCTCCACACACACAGACCACACAGTATCTTTCAGTCAAGCAGCAATCACATTACAAACATGCCCTATGGACGACTTACCCCAAGGGTCACGCCCCTCCTATATCTGGAAAACTGCCTCACAAAACTCCCCTGCTAGCTGCTCCAGTTCGTAAAATATCTAGCCACCTTCCTTTTTGCATTATGTAATTTCTTAATTGTTTCCCATTCTATTTTGTCTAATAAAATATGTGAATGTGCAATAATTCTGCATTCTATATTTCGGCTTTTAAAAAAAGAGATTACAGCAGGAGATCTAATTTAAGACACTGAAAAATTAAACATTAGAATTCATTACAGGGTGCTTGCTTGTAAAATATGTTTTGCCTCCCAATTGTTATTCTTTGGAATCCTCCTTGTCTTTTTATGCAGCTGTGTAGGTAACAATCATTATTATTAAGCGATTACAGAACAGAGTCATATGGATTAAAATAATGTCTAGAGTTCATTAATTCTTCATAGCCACTAAATATAGGGAATGTCAAGCCATTTCAGGGCTGAGGAGTCCCTGAAGCAACTCAGTACTGACTCTTAGCCTGGAATTTCCCCTTTTGGAAGCCCAAGGGCAATAATTATGTTCATTTCGACAATATCAATTTCAAAACTGTTACGTGGGCTTTTTAATGTTTAAACATCAGTCTTCGTATGGACAATTAGTGTGGCCAAACCTCATTTGCATACCTAATGAGCCACCATTTTTGCAGAAGAGGATCTTGCGCTAGAAGGAGCTGTCTACACTGTCCCTTCATGCGCAAGAAAAACCCTCTTGCGCAATGCCGCTACGCTGATTATTTTCAGGAATAACGGCATTGTGCAAGAGGGTTTTTCTTGCACAAGAAAGAGCAGTGTAGGCAGCTCCTTCTAGCGCAAGAGCCTCTTCTGCAAAAATGGTGGCTCATTAGGTATGCAAATGAGGCTTGGCAATATTCCACGCTTAGCTTTATTTGCATACTTCTGGCACAACCACCCACCAGTGTAGACATAGCCTCTAGTAGGTGAATCATGCTCTTCTGAGGTATAGTCTTTTTGTAAGCACTTATATGTATCTAGCTAGATACATATGACTATTCTCCTTACAACACGAAGGCAAATGAGGCTTGGCAATATTCCACGCTTAGCCTCATTTGCATATTTCTGGCATAAGAACCCACCAGTGTAAACATAGCCTAACAGAACATGGCAGTAGGGAAAATAAATTCCTTATGGTAAAGTAATCCAGGAACCTCTTTGCCCCCTGGAGAGCGACAGGGGACTCCTCCTGTGCCTTTTGATTTGAAATCAAACATATTATCCTTGCTCTATGGGGAAATGTAAACCAATCAGATTCCCTTTCCCATGAACAGTAGGCACTGTGACTAACTCTCCAGGCATCTGGCAGACAGCCATTTACTTTTAAAATTATTAGATACTGCTTCAATGGAATACTGAAGTGCTGTTTATCTGGGTAATGCAAAGAACATTGTAAACCGGAAAAATTCAGAAGGGAGCCCTTGCATTATCCTATATAAGATTAGTTACCCTCCCTTTTTAATTAAACAAAAGTTGGCTTCTTTTAATCTTGCAGAAGTGTGGCTAGGAAGCAAGGGGGTTGTTTCTATCACTCGTTTGTGTCAGAAAACCTTTAGTTTATTGGTTGAAACTAAAAATATAATACCCTAAAATATTCCTATCACATGCTATATACAAATCTAGGGTGTTTGTGGACCATGGTCCACACATCTGTGAGGGTTTCCATGAGCTCCTGTGGGAAAATCTCTTTTTGAGAATTGTTACAAATCCATTCAGTTTGTGGTCTCCAAGAGCTGGCTTCAATCAGTCTGACTCTACACTCATGCCACCAAGACCCTCTTCTACTCTTCATCTTCCATAGTAGAGTAACTTCTTTTTTCTTCTCAAGCTGCATGCAGGACTCTGACCTGACTTCATTTCCCCTATTACACTCACTGCTGTAAAACAGGAGTCACTCCACTGAAGCCATCATAACAACACTAGCATAAAACTGGTGTAAATTAGACTCAGAATCAAGTGGCAGGTATATGCTACGGCAAGGTCTTTGCTCTGGCTTCTTGCCTTGGGACACCTTCTGGTCCACAAATTAGTCAGAGACCTTCAGTGCAATCACTTATGCCTTTATTGTCACTTTCCCACCACCTTCTATTTACAGTCTTTAGAGTTCAACTTCCCTTTTCCTAGCTGCCTGAGCTCACGCTCAGCCACACCCTGACCCCTTGTTCCTTCTCCTTCCTAGCCCCAGTCCTCTGCCTTTTATAGCCCTCTGGCTAATGAGGCCCACAGCTGCTTCCATTAGCCCCTCAGGCCTGGGTTTGTTCAGCGGTCTGCAATCAGCCTTTTCAGCCAGGCTACAGTGGCAGAGCTCTGGCTTAGCCTGCTGTCTGTCATAGCGCCCATTGCAAAAAAAAAAAAAAAAACTGGCATAAACTCATACCCTCCCTGAGGCACCTTCTAGTGTCTTATTATTTCCTGCCTTATGTTCCTGGCACAGCACAAGGTAACCGCAGAAAGAAGGAACCTTACTGGTTCTTTGGTCGGCATTTTCTATTGCTTGCTGTCTTCTGTGAGCAGTAATTATCTCATTAGCACATCAGATGCCCCACAGGTGCAAACAATCCCCATTAAAATGTCCTACCCATATGCCGGTCTCCTTCCTACTCTAGCTACCCCCGGTCCCCTGGCACTTTCTTAGAAGCCAGGATGCTGGCTCCCAGAAGTGCCTTATTCATAGCTGCCCATGACACCCTCTCACACACGGAGAGGCAATGCTGCCAGTTCACCTGCTAGATGCACGAGTGAGCTGTTTGGCCAGGCACTGGGCCAATCTGGCAACGATGCAGGAAATTCCAACTCCCGAGCCAGTGACTGACTGCCTACCTGACATAACTGGGGTGTGGGTAGTTGGCCTCATGGCAGGAGCAAGAGTTGCAGCCAAGGATCAGAACTGGGTGATTTGGAATGAGGCAAGGCTCTGTTCAAGGCAGGAGTGGGAAAAGGTAGGAGGGTGGCTGGGAAGATGCAGAAACACACAGCCATAGGCAAGTGCTTTGAGCAGCCACTGACCTGCTCCTGCTGCTGGGCGTAAGCTAGGATCAGCTGGCTCTTCCCATGAGCCAGCAGGGACAGCCAATCAGGCTGTCCTCCTATAATTAGGCTGAGGTAGCATGGAGACGGGCTTTGCCTGAGGTCCTGATTCCTGACAGCCTGCCCCAGGAGGCAAAAGGTGGAATTAAAGCTGCCTTGTATCTTTCCTGCTGCTGCTTAAGCCACCCAAACATCTCTCTGCACTGCCCTTGCACTTCCTGTCCCAGGCCACAGAGAGCTCTGAATGGTCTGAGTCTCTGGGTTATATATGTATTTGTTGTCACCCTGGTAATGCCATGTCTGAAGGTGGGACAGTACGTACAGAAAAGACACCATGAACGTGGGCTCACACATGTCTATGATCCACATCCCAGTGTAACATGATTGAATTTATTACAGGCATAACTAGCCACATGTTTAAAAGTTTCAGAGGGGTAGCCATGTTAGTCTGTAACTGAAAAAAACTTTAAAAACAATGACTAGTCCCGCAGCGTCTTAGAGACTCACAAAAATGTAGACGATAAACTTGAAAAGGAACAAATAGTCTGGCAGCACTTTAAAGACTAACAAAACATGTGGATGGTATCATGAGCTTTCATGGGCACAGCCCACTTCTTCAGATAACCGGAGTTTTGAGTTTAGGATGTGCAGACCCAAAATAAATAGGGGAGAAGGGAAAAGGGGGAAGGAAAAAAAAGAAAGGGGTGGGAAACAAGGAGCAGAGGGTATGAAAATATCAAAGGGAAAAACAAGTAGGCAGAGCTGGTAGTCTATAAGCACCTAAAGACTGGATAGTTAAAAGAAGCAGATAAGGATCATAGGATAGCAATTAGATAGGAAGGGTACTAATGCAAGAATCTGCACAGACAAAGAGCTACTTGGCTACCCCCTGAAGCTTCTGAAAAATGTAGATGGTATATTATGAGTTTTTTTGGGCACAGCCCATTTCTCCAGATGAAGTTGGCAGCTGATAGAGGATAACACTTTGCACTTGTTTCAGGATCTTTACATGTCACTCTCCCAGCAATTGAAGGAAGCATCCTATTTTCAAGAAATTGCTGAGGACAGATGTAATCACAGCATTTGCAACACTGGCAGCCTCAGGTGATCAAAATCATGTTTTACTTACGTAGGAAATAAAAAAAGTTCTATATCCCCCCACAAACACAATCTATCCCCAGGTTGCAAATGATGGATAAATAAATAAAGATTGCCTATCTCCTAGAACTGGCAGGGACCTTGCAGGTCATCAAGTCCAGTCCTCTGCCTTCACAGCAGGACCAAGTACCATCCCTGACAAACTTTTGCCCCAAATCCCTAAATGGCCTCCACAAGGATTGAACTCACAACCCTGGATTTAGCAGGCCAATGCTCAAGCCATTGAGCTCTCCCTCCCCTATGTTGAGCTTCTGTTCTGTTCATTCCTTTTGGGGCACCTGGCATTGGCCACTGTCGGCAGATAGGACACTGGATGGACCTTTGGTCTGATCCAGTGTGGCCAGTCTTATGTTCTTCTTTATTAAGAAAGATGCTGTTGGCCCCTATCCATAAATGTCCCTCCACATCTGACTGTTCCTTGTCCGGCAATTCATTCTATCCCCTCACTGGCCTTCTGGGAGCCAGCACACTTGTCATGTCAAACGTGCAGGAGAGCTGGGTGTAATTGGAATAGGAAGTATCTGGGCAGTCTGAGTTTGGAAGTTTACTGGGGTCATTTGCATTTTTAGGGCATCTGACGAGCTAATGAGGTAATTAGCTCACCAGCTGGCTAGGCCACAGAAAAACACAAAGGCTACACCTACACTGGCATGATTTTCTGGAAATGCTTTTAACAGAAAAGCTTTCCATTAAAAGCATTTTCGGAAAAATCGCGTCTAGATTGGCAGGATGCTTTTCCGCAAAAGCACTTTTTGCGGAAAAGCTTCCGTGGCCAATCTAGACGTGGTTTTCCACAAAAAAGCCCCGATCGCCATTTTCGCGATCGGGGCTTTTTTGCAGAAAACAGTACTATGCTGTCTACACTGGCCCTTTTGCGCAAAAGTTTTTCGGAAAAAGACTTTTGCCCGAACGGGAACAGCATAGTATTTCCGGAAAAGCACTGATGATTTTACAGGAGATCGTCAGTGCTTTTCTGGAAATTCAAGCGGCCAGTGTAGACAGCTGGCAAGTTTTTCCGCAAAATCATCTGATTTTGTGGAAAAACTTGCCAGTCTAGACACAGCCAAACAGTATAAAATGCTGACCGAGATGCAGGTAAGGTCCCTTCTCTCTGCTACTACCTTTCTAGCTGCATAAGGCAAGAAATAATAATAATAATAATAATAATTAATAAAGATATTTTGAATGTGCCCTTAGGGAGTGTATATGATATTGAAGCCCCAGGAGGACCTAAAAGACAGGGTTTTGCAAGGGGGACACACTGCAGTTTGATTTTGATTTCAGTTGCTCCAGTTTTGTTCTAGTCTAACTATGATGGTTTCAGTGGAGTGACTCCTAAATTTACAGCAGTCAGTGTCACAGGGAAAAGAATCAGGCATGAGACCTGAACACAGCTTACCCCAATATTCTTTTCCTTCTCAATGTTGCAGACCAGGTTTTGGAGCAGGGGGAGGGGTGTGGAGTTAGTTGCCGTAGAGCAGTGTTTCTCAACCATTTTTATAAAGTACCCCTTTAAAAAAAGTTATAAGTACCCCTTTTAAAAAAAAAAAAAATTATAAATACCCCCAGTACCTACAGTTTTCAGACACACATTTTTTTTCTACTATTGCAACACATTTATTTAAACAACTTAATTATAGCTAGGTGGGCGATGAAATTTTTGGGTGTCAAAAGTACAAAAATAATAAAGCACTGTAAAACTTAAAATAAAAATTCAATTTTCTCCAAATTTCTGTTGTGTTGACGTCCTCCCGCCAGACTTCTCTCCAGTACCCCTAAGGGTACTCGTACCACAGGTTGAGAAACACTGCCATAGAACGCAACAGTTCAGAGTCAGTCAGTGACTGAACCCCTCTGACACAACACACTGAAAGGGTTTGTAAAAATTATAAGGATGAGAGATTTCTCCACAGGAGCTCGTTGGAACTGACAGAGGTGCGTGGACCATGGTCTAGAACCACCCAAGTGTGGAAATAACACATGATAGGGATGTTGGATGGTGTTAATTTTATAAAAATAAATAAAATGGCTTGGTAACAGACAAATGATAGAAACAGCTCCCTTGTTCCCCTGGCACACACTTCTCCAAGATTATCTCACACCAGCTTTCTTTTATTAACAGAAGAGTAACAGATCTTATATGGGTGATACAAAGGCTCTCTTCTGGAATTTTGCCAGCTGACAAGGTTCTTTACAGTCCCGATAAACAGCACGTTAGCCTTCCATTGAAGCAGGATCGGATGATTTAACTAGCAAGCAGCTATCTACCGGACTCCAAGACGTTCTGCTTAGACAATTAGCCTTGTCTCCATCTGTACATGCACAAAGAAAGCGGACTCAGATTTCTTGTTGTTTTCCATTAAAACAGCTTAATATAACGTTTGGCTTCAAACCACAGGAGGAAATGGCAAGTCACTGGATAGTGCATGAAGAGGTTCCTGGTTAATGCCGTCACGGGGAATTTATTGTCCCTATTGCAACAGAGCTTTAAGGGGAATAATATGAATTTAAAACGATGGTGGGCAACCTGTGGTCCTAGGACCACATGTGGTCCATCAGGGTTATATGTGAGGCCCATGAGACATTTTATTGATCACTGCCTGTGCATAGGGTTCCCAAATTCCACCAGTTGCCATCTGTAGGTGGGTTTTTTCCTAACATGCATGTAAATGCAAGGGCACATGAAGTGAGGTGCGTGCCGATTGCACACAACATTGATTGTGAGAGCCGTGCGGTCCCTCTGCATCCGATCAAAGCACTGTTACGCTTCAGTCAGCACCCCCCCACACACATACAAACACACAAATTTTAGGTATGCAAGTGCATTTACCAAAACTACCCTATCCTGGGACACCGTCTTTCGTTACAACCATCGTGCGGCCCACTGAGATGAAGGAGGGCAACCCACACAGCCCACTCACTAGCCTGGGCTGCCCATCGCTGATTTAAACAGGTGAAATGGCTGCCTAATAAAAACTATATAGAATAAAAGCAAGACTCCCATCCTGGAGAGCTGTTCTATCTCACACGCCATCCTAACTGAAGCTAAAATCACAGATCATTATTGAGGTGATAAATAACTTTCTCTTTTGGAAGGAAGGGAAATTCCAATTCCCTCTGAAGGCTGACTCCATTCTGGTGGCCGTTACATTTGAGCCGCTCCTGGAATGGCCATTCTAGTTGATATCCCTGGTTCCAGAGATGTGTTACTAATGACCAGTGGAACAGAGATCTCCTCACCTAGTTCTTTAAGGATTCCATAATTGAAATTAACCAGTTCTGTTGATTTAAAAATAGCTAGCTAGCTATGTATCCATCTATCGTGATTTAACATCCTTCTTATCCTTAGTCCAACTAGCCACAGATTCTTCCATGATGTCTTTCCCTCCCCCTATCCTATAGCTAAACTTAATCCTTTTTTAATTTAGATGGACGGCTATCTACCTCCCCTGTTTTCCATTTGGTGTTGATAATGTTTTATTTCTAATTGTTGCCTTTACTTCCCCTGCAGACTGATACAGAAAAGACTCAGAATCTGCCTGCACTCACCTCTCCAGATTTTGTTTTTTCCTAGCTGCTGATTTTACAATTGTATATAACAGCAATGTAGGCAGTGGGGAGTTTGGGCCGCATTCCCTGCCTGTATATGAAGCTTTGGCAGCCGATGGGGACTGTACAAGAATCAGAAAGAGATTTGCGGGGTGAGGGATTATCCCAAAGTCTGAGTAGCTCATGGCTGCCATGCAGGGCTCTGCTGTCCCTATTCCAAGCAGAGGTTGTCCTGGTGGTGTAGATGTTGCTGGAAGCTGTTGTGTCTAAGTGCTGCACCCCTGAATCTGCAGAGAATATGGGCACCTCCAAGCTCGGGAGAAGCCCACCAACAGTCAGGGGGTAAGGTTGTTCTATGCAAATGTAGCCACAGTGGTGGCTCTTATCCATGTTGGGGCCACGCCAGCTGTCACGTGGCCTACTATGTGGGCAGCACAGATGCATAGAGCCTGGCACAGATATAAAATTGGTATCCACATACACATTTGCAAACATGACCCATGGATATCTGCATCCGCACCTGCAGATGTGAATACCCGTAGATACAAAGTGCATATCTGTGCATCTGTGGGGTTCCAAATACAAAATTTGTATCCACATCTGTAGGCACAAAAAGGCGCCACAGATACCAGCATCCACGGCCGTAGGTGAGGATACTCATGGTTACAAAGCAGATATCCACAGATTTGCAGGGCTCTACAGATGCCACTTGAAACTTCCTTGGTCTTCGTGCTGGGCTACATGCACGGACCTCACCCCCCCCCCCCAAATGTTAACCTTTGCTGTAAGGAGAGGAACAAATGTTTCTGTTCACACTGAAATCTTTGCTTTGTGGACTGCTGAACTTACGTTTTACAGCAAACGTTCCCGCGATTGCACCTTCCTCTGCGTATCGCATGACGAGGGCATGACCCAATGTAACAGATGCCCCCAAGATTTACACACCTCTTGCTGAGATCCTGAGCCTGTGAGAAATCTGAAGAGACAAAAGGAATAATCATCCTTCTGCAGGTAAATTAGGGCATGATTCACAGATGACAGGCATTTCCCATTCATTTATACCAGGCAAAATCAGCCCAGTTATCTTTAGGTGCAGAAGATTGTCACTGCTTTAGTACTGTATGTAGCCACGTGCAAATTCTCAGTGGCTGATGCTAAGAAGGGAGAAGAGTGAGTTAAATAACCTGGATTGCTGGCTATCAGAGGTACAGTTCTCTCATCCTTTGGTGCCTGAGCCTTTAAGGAGTAAAAAGGAAGTAGCTGCCCACCTCTTCACCTTCTTTTAGTAGCTCCAGCTGTAGTTTTGGTTCCCTCTGGCTGTTACAGTGATGTGCCAGGCAGCATCACCAATGGAATTTAGCCAGCTAGGATTCTGTGCTGCATCAGGATGACTATCATTTTTCAAAGAAAAGGAATGCCTGCCTCTCTGTGTGACTCTGAACACATTTTTTTTTCTGAAGACTCATTCACGAATACTTTCTTGCTGAGCAGTGGCCACTCTGAAGAACCTGCAGCTTTGAAAATCCTGCCCCCAGGCACACAACCAAAACTTGTAGAATACTCACGTTGGAGCATTTTTAACAAGAGTTTGTTGGGCAACTGAAACAGAGATGTGCCAGGGTGGCAAATACTGCCCCAAACAGATGAGATCATTCCAAGGAAGGAACCCAAACACATACCTGTGGTAGGTTCTCAGAGAGGTGAGAGTGGGGGCCAAAACACTGGGACTAGGGCTCTACTTCCAACCACGTAACTTCTCAGTGGCAAATGAGCCCTGACATTATAATAGAGGCTATGAAAACACCAAATTATTAACACTAGCCAGCAGCAGAAGACAGCATTTTAAATTATAGTCTTCCAGCTGCCGGCTCTGTGCCTGCTCCTAGACCAAAGATATATTGGACGGGGTTGGCATGAATTCATTTTGTCTGTATCCGACCTAGTTGTCCAATTCTGTGATTGCCTGCTTCAGGAATACTCTACATGCCATGCTGAAATAACGGGCTTTCTGTGAAGATGCGGGATAGCTATTTAAGGATACTCCAGTATCCTGAAATAGCATTGCAGTGTAGATGTAGAGTTGGAAGCAAATTATAGTGTTTACACTGCCCTTAATTCCAAGCATGAATGTCCATTCTGACTTTATGATGTACGAGGGTAAATTTTAAAGGCCCTTTAGGTGGAAGGAAAGGGTTCAGCTGTGTAAAGAGACTTAGTACAAATGTGACCTTATGCTGACTACATCGTCCTAAGCTTGCAGTGTAGACCAGCCCTGAAGAGGCACTAGTGTTCATTGTAAAAAGAGAGGGTTAGACAATGTAAGTGCAGGCTAGAGATCCCTCTGCATCATCCCCCCCTTTTCATCGACATCTTACCTGGTGCAACCTGGAGCACCAGAAAGAAAATAGCGAAGAGCAGATAAAGGATCTTCATGGCTGGAGATGAGCAGGGATCTCAGCGTAGCTGCAGAGAAAATACAAAAAGACAGAGGGGAGACATTTATAGGTTGTCACCGAAGCATGGGGAGTCTCTGGGCCCACAGTCCCATACGCAGCCAAATGTGACTCTCCGCCAGCAAGTCGAACAGAAGGGCTGGGTCTACACTCGCAGATTCTTGCGCAAGTCTGGCCGTTCTTGCGCAAGAATCTGCAGAGCATCCACACTGCCCGCCCACTCTTGCGCAAGGAAATTTACAGAATGGCGTGGTAAGAGAGGGTTTCTTGCGCAAGTGCTACACTCTTCTTTCTCAGATATAAGCTCTCTTGCACAGGAGGGCAGTGTGGATGCTCGGCAGGGATTTCTTGTGAAAAAAAGCCCTATGGCTAAAATGGCCATCAGAGCTTTCTTGCGCAAGAGACCGTCCACAGTGCCATAAGCGCTCTTGTGCAAAAGCACAGCTCGCACATGGCAGTGAGGACGTATTCTTGCACAAAACTTCTTGCACAAGAACCCTTGCAGAAGATGTTCTTGCACAAGAAGCTGCCAGTGTAGACATAGCCAAGATGTATTCGTTCACAAGGATGCAGCATAGCACAGACTTATTAGCACAGGAACCAGGAGCAGCCAGTACAATCCATCTTCGGGAGTGGGAGCCTGAAGGGCAGGGCCCTGGGCCACTTCCCTGCGTCCTAAGACAGCAGAGACTCACACACACACTCAGCACCAGTCTCACCCTTTAGTCAGCCCTGCCTCCTCCTTTGTTCAGCTTCCTGGGCAAAAGGTGTTATCTGGTTTCAACACACACACACACACCGCCTAGCCTCAGGTTACAAGAGAGCCTGAGCCATTGGTGTGTAATTGCTGAGCTAGGGCACCCTCAGGCAGCCTCCCCTACAATGAGAGTCACATCCAAAACCCCCATCACGCGCCGGGCTTCAGGGCAGTGCCCAGGGAAACTGGGGCACCCACACACAGAGACTGCGTCTACACTGTAGCCTTCTTCCGGAGAAGCCTATGCAAATGAAGCGCGGCACGGAATATCACCGTTTCATTTGAATAATTAATTAGCAGCCGTTTTTGTTCAAGAGGCTTTTGTGCTAAAAGGAGCCGTGTACACAGCTCGTTTTTGTGAAAAAGCCTCTTGCACAAAAATGGCTGCTCATTACATATGCAGTGAAGTGCAGTGATATTCCACGCAGCGCTTCATTTGCATATGCTTTTCTGTAAGAAGGCTACAGTGTAGACGTAGCCTGAGCTACCCCAATTTTAGACAACAATGGTTCAGTTTATTAGTGAAATAAAGTATATTTTATACCTGCTATTACAGCACACACCCATTTATCTGACAGGCCTGGGAGACAGCCAAATATGCAAGAGAAATTCAAGTTAGAATCCAAAGGGAACTCGAAAGACGAAGGGGTCATTCTGAGCTGCGCTTCACCCCTACATGCTGCAGTGAGAGTCGTTCCCATGGTGCTGTATGGGCAGAGCCCAAAGGGAGACACAGAGAAGGCAGAAGGAGGGAAAAGGAGAAGGAAGGGTAATGAAGCAAAGGGAGACAGGAGACTGTTTGGTGCTGCTTGAGCACTGACAGCTCCAGAGAAGAGAGCTGGCCCTACCCCTCACTATTTATATAGGGGCTTACAGAACCTAGAGTTGTCCATGTCAGGATTCCCTCAAGAAGCAGCAAGGAGTTTGTCTGCTTCTGTGGCTATTCCTCTGCTCTTCTTTTCCTTCCCTTTCTCTCTCCTCCACCCTCCTCTGCATTTCCTCATTCCCCATCCCTTCTGCCCTGTTCTCTTTTGCTAACTCCTGCCCTGTGTCTCCCTTTGTCCTTTCTCTCCTTGAAGGCTTTTCCTTTCTGTCTTTGCCTTAACCCCTTCCTCTGTCTCTCTTACCTGTTTGCTTTTTCTCTCCCTCCTCAATTATTCTTCCCCCTACCTTATTCCTACTTCTTCTTCCCTTTCCCCTGTCCTCATTGCTAATTCTGGAAATCCTCCCAAATCACAGCTCCCACCACGCTAAAGGTAGCTCAGCAGTGGGTGATTCACACAGCGCATTTGGGTAACTGGGATTCCTTGTATAAAGGGAAGTCAGATAACTGGAATTATCCTGCCCATGCTTTCAACTCAGGAAGCTTTAAAATAGCCAGGCTTTTATTTGCATAAACGAAATGCATGGAATTTTGCTACTTATGCATTAAAGCTGGAATGAAGGCCTGTTCTCCAGCACTGCATCACAGTGGCACCAAGTGGTTTCTCCAGACAGCTAGAGAGTTCATTCAATTAGTTCAGACACAGAAACAGTTATGACACCAATAGTCTTCTCTTTCTGCATCTCCCAACCATTCCCGAGACAGACCTGTACAGGAAGAGATAGTAGAGGGATCATAAGGGAAACAACCTTAATAGTTACCAGCTTGGGGATGCTCTCAATCGACAGGTGATGACAGTCCCAGTTAATGTCTCTCATGCAGATCTATAAGCTTTAGTGAGTGGGTTTTGATGATACAAACTCTCAATTTTATACCGTCTCTGAAAGCTTGGTTTCTTCTTGGCCAACCTGTTGTGGGCCAATCAGAAAGCACCGTGCTTGTGGGGAAATTCTGAACAGTCCTACTACCGTTTGGATGTTGGGATTTTTGCAACTCTGTCTCTCTGGAATATTTAGGGTCGTTGTGCAAAACATCTTGTGCCATCCCAGATTGTGTAAACAATGTTAGGCTACAGCGGTTTGGGTCAAACATCTTGGCACATATAACGAACATCTGCTCATTTGTCTCTGATCAGCAACTTACTTCAACAGTCAACTTCCGATAGGCCTCCCTGTCTTTGGCCAATTTAACACAATGTTATATCTGTCTCTAACTGGCATTTTCTCTGTCAGCACTTTCAGCTGCCAGCAGAAATTTCCAATACTGTAAAGTCCTCTCACATTCCTTTTTTGATTAATTACATTTTTCATAAAAACTACGAGGAGTCCTGTGGTACCTTAAATACGAAGGGTATGTCTACACTACAGCGTTATTTCAAATTAACTTATTTTGAATTAGTTAGTTCAAAGTAAGCTAATTCGAAATAACGCATCTAGACCCAAAAAGTAATTCTAATTTGCTTTTTTCTAATTCGAATTAGCGTGTCCACACTGATTGGACACTGGGTCACATTTAAGGCCAGCTGAAACCGGTTCCAGCAGGGCATCAGGTCAGTAGTTGCTTTGTGTGGCTGCTATCTTAGGTTATCTGATGCTCGTGTTTAAATGGACCCCCCCGGACAGCCGGTTCTCCACTTTTTCTCTTGCTTGCCTACCTCGCCGAGGGACAGCAAAGCGTTTTCCTCTCTTCCTGCCTGTTTCAGTCGTTCTCATTGGGGACGGCGCTGCACTTGGCACCATGGTGTCCGAGTTGGCCCTGGGCATTTTGGTGCCGTTTTTGGACTTGTTGCTGCAAGTGTGTGGAGGGTGGGGCAGAAGGGACGGGGGGTGGAGGAAGTGGGAGGGAGAGCAAGGGTAGCCAGGGACGGGGGATGCAGAGGAAGTGGGAGGGGGATCAGGGGTGGAAGGAGGATCGAGAGCTGGGGTGGCCGCAGGGGCCGGAGCAGGAGGACGCAGGAACCTGTCCACCAGGGTCTGGAGGTGACCTCTGAGGGTACGGCTCTGCTCCTCCAGCACCTGCAAGCTCTGCTGCCACAGCTGCAGGTCCTCACAGACCCAGTGCTCCAGGTTGCAGAGATGCTGCCCCAGTAGCCACAGGTGCCGCCGCTGGTACTCCTCCTAGTCACAGGTGCGCCTGCTGGCCCGGGTGCAGGTGGTTGTTCCAGGCGGGGGGGTGTGCCCTGCACTAGCAGGTGCTGCAGTTGTGGTGAAACAAGAGCAGTGGTCAGTTCTCCCTGGGGACACAGTGGGTGAAACCCAGCCCCCCTCTGCAAGGTGAGGTCGGCGTGTGGGGGATGGGCCAGGGCCTCTGCATAGCACCCAGCTGCTGCTCCATGGTGGGCAAAGCCCAGGCGCACGGTCCCAGGACTCCCTCTCTCCCTCCCCCACATAAGGGGACCATGATGGCACTCACATGTGGAGACCTCCCCGGTCTCAGACGACACAGCTGCTGGGCTCTGTGGGATGACTTGGGGGTTCTGGGTCCTGGCCAGACTCCCTGCAGGCTCCTGTGGCTCCTGGCTGTCATCCTCCTCGTCTTCCTCCTCTTCCCTTTTTTCAGGGGCGGGGCCCTCTGCCCCGGTTTCGATCACCACCCGGGGGCAGGGACTGCGTGACCCCCCAGGATGTGGTCCAGGATCTCGTAATGAGGGCAGGTGTCTGGGTCGGCCCCTGGTTGGGAGGCCCTGGAGTAGGCCTGCCGCAGCTCTTTGATTTTGTAGCGGACCTGCACCTGGCTGCGCAGGTGGCCTCTGGTGACCAGGCTGGCAGCCATGCAGCTATAGACGGCTGCATTCCTTTGCCTACTGTGGAGCTCGTGGACATTGGAGGCGTTCTCCCAACCCTCAATGAGGTCCACGATCTCCGCACTAGACCAGGCAGGCTCCTGTCTTTTTCAGCCCCCGGCAGGCTCCTGAGAGCTACCAGCCTGGTCCTGGGAAGAGGTGGAGGGCTGGGTAGCAGCAGGTGGATGGCTCATGTCGTGCCAGGTGCAGGGTCTGCTGGCTGGGTGCTGGCAGACTGGCAACTGGCACAGTCTCTGTGGCCAGAATTTGCCCCTTTAATGGCTCCGGGGCTGGGAGGGTGTCAGCCGACAGTCAGGGCAGTGTGTGTGTGTTTGTGTGTGTGTGTGTTACCGAGAAAAGGTTTAACGTCCGTGTCTTTACTGCTAGGACCGGGGTCCCGTCGCAGAGGGTGGCCAGCTGGCCAACAGACGCCCCGTTATATAGGAAGAGCTTATTACACCTTAGATTTTAGCTGCTAGAACACAGGGGTTCCTTCGCAGTGGGCAGCCTAGAAAGGGCTGAAAAGGTGCCCCAACGGATCTTGTCACCTGGGAGTGACACAGATCCAAACGCCCAAGCTCTCCCTACGTCTGTCCCTTTATGACCGGCTGAAGTTCTTTTAAATTGTGCTTGGTTCTATTACGGCAACTGAAGGAGTCAAGTTAAAGCTTAAACCGTTACAGGTTTATTAAAGAAGCTTATAAATCATATGGTTACAATGGCTATTGCTCTATTTCTTAAATGCTAGCAAATATATATATATAGGTCTTAAAAATGATTACAGGAAAAAGGTAAAGATAGAAAATAGAAATAATGGTACCAAGTGACAGCTTAATCTTTAAAGAGCTCTAACACTATGTATATATATACTTAAGCAAAGGACCACATACAGGTACAATTTTTACCCCTTTCTGTGCCTTTCGACTCCAGCGTGTCAGGCCAGGGCCAGTCTCTCAATTCCTAGGAAAGACGAATACGAGGTGGTCGTCCCCTCTGGAACCTCGGGAGATCAAACACCTAACCCGACCAGCAGATAGATGGTAGATTGACACTCAGAGAAAATGTGCTGCTGGAACCATCTATATACCCCTGGGGGCCCGCATCAAGTTAATTTACACTTGCAAGAGAGAGATAACTAAATTGTGAGTACTAGACATTTTTTTACTGGGTGAGAGATTCCTCCCCCCGCGGATGGCTGTGTGTTCGTATCAATATGGGTTAAGTCAAGGACACTCCTTGGCAGCCTCTTGGTCAGCAATTGGCACATCTCTGTTTACAGCCATTCACGGTCACACAGCCTGGGCCTTCTGCTCTGTGTGCCCTGTATGCTCCAGGCAAGCAAAAATGGATGTTACAAGGGGGGTTCCTGTCTGGCTACAGAGGGAGGCAGAAGAGTTTCCCTGGTTTGGCCCAGAGTGGCCACCAGGGGAACTTGGGAAGGACTAGCCTCCAGCTAGTTCGAATTAAGAGACTACACAGCGCTTAATTCAAACTACTTATTTCGAATTTGGCATTACTTCTCGTAGAGTGAGGCTTACCAAGTTCAAATTAAGTGCTCCGCTATTTCAAATTAAATTCGAACTAGCGATTTGTATATATAGCTGCTATTAAAATTCATTCGAACTAACGGTATTTAGTTCGAATTAACTATGTAGTGTAGACATACCTTAACTGATTTGTTTGGGCATAAGACTTTGTGGGTCAAAGCCACTTTGTCAGATGCAGATTCAAGTGGTTTTGAGCCACGAAAGCTTATGCTCAGTCATCCAATATAAGCAAAACAAATCTGCTTTTAATGTGAGGCAGGACTCCTCATTGTTTCGACAGATACAGACTAACACAGTTGCCCTCTGAGAGACCTGTGTGTTTTTCATAGTTCACCTCGCTGCAACAAAGTAATTGGATTGACTTGATTCATTTGTTATTAATAACATTGGTAACTATTACATCAATTATTTCAGACCGAGGTGAAAAAGACCTTTGGATGTTGGAGGGTCTGGCCGATGGTGAAAATGGCTCATGAAGAGAGGTACCTTTACCTCTGAGGCAGTGGTAGGGACATTGCGAGCCTCAGAAACACACACCAACCTGCCAGGAAGTGCAGGTCCTGGGGACATAGCCCAAACTCCACCACGCAATATGATGAGACACTGTTCTACATGGTTCTGTACCAGCATTTGTGTAATCTCTATGTTTTCTTTGTGAGATAGTTGGGTTACATCATATGTTTAAAAATACTAATAATGGTTAATAATAACTATTAATAATTTTAAGCTGAATTGGGCCTTGTGCTGGTTTATGTCTTATGACACAATATCTGTGTTCACCTTTCTGATTTCCATTCGGAATGTCTACATAATTGCTAACATATGTGTAGAAGGCATTCATTTATGATAAAAAAGGCGATATTCTAAGCTGATATGTGGTGAAACAATTAAACAGTAAAAATCTATAAAGTGCATTGCATTAAAATATTATAAGGCCTATAGGAACATTGGGCATGATCCTCTGTTGGATTTATAGTTGCAAGGATACCTCATGACATATGTAGTCATCCTATCTATCAAATAAGGTGTAGAGATAGGGTTGCCAGGTGTCCAGGTTTGAACCGGACAGTCCAGTATTTGAGCTTTCCGTTCTGGAAACAAATTGAGAAAATATAAATGAGAAAATTTCAATGTCCGGTATTTCTAAATAAGATGTCATGGAGATTGTGATGTAATGTCAAGTGGGTCTAGTATTTTTGTTGAAACCATTTGGCAACCCTATTTAGAGAATATCCATATTTGGGCAGGTCAGGGAGTAGCCGAGTTAGTCTGTTACAGAAAAAAAAAAGCAAGCAAATGGTCTGGTAGCACTTTTAAGACTAACAAAACGTGTAGATGGTATCATGAGCTTTCGTGGGTACTAAACCTGAGTAGATAAAGATCAAAGTCAGTGGATGGGTAAGGCAGGAAGGATACCATTCAGAAAGTAGCGAGGAGTCCTGTGGCACCTTATAGACTAACTGAAGTGTAGGAGCATAAGCTTTTGTGGGCAAAGACCCACTTCGTCAGATGCATGTAGTGGAAATTTCCAGAGGCAGGAATAAATATGCAGGCCAGGATCAGGCTGGAGATGACGAGGTGGATCCAATCAAGGAGGATGAGGCCCACTTCTAGCAGCTGATCTGGAGGTGTGAATTCCAAGAGAATAGAAGCTGCTTTTGTAGTTAGCAAGCCATTCACAGTCTTTGTTTAATCCAGAGTTGATTGTGTCAAACTTAAAGATGAACTGTAGCTCAGCAGTTTCTCTTTGAAGTCTGGTCCTGAAGTTTTTTTGCTGCAGGATAGCTACTTTTAGATCTGCAATTGTGTGTCCAGGAAGATTGAAGTGTTCCCCTACAGGTTTTTGTATGTTGCCATTCCTAATATCAGATTTGTGTCCATTGATTCTTTTACGTAGGGACTGTCCAGTTTGGCCGATGTATATAGCAGTGGGGCATTGTTGGCACATGATGGCATATATTACGTTGGTGGATGTGCAGGAGAATGTACCAGTGACAGTATGGCTGATCTGGTTAGGTCCTGTGATGGTGTTGCTGGTGTATATATGTGGGCAGAGTTGGCACCGAGGTTTGTTGCAAGGATTGGTTCCTGAGTTCGAGTTGAACTGTTAATTCAAACTAAGGGGTTTCTCTCGGAATCGTGCTTCTCTGCCGCGTGGAGACGTGGGTAGGTATTCTGGGCAAGTCATTTTCCAAAATGGCGAACGACCAGGAACATGCTAATGAAGCACGGGATATTTAAATCCCGCGCTTCATTTGCAATCTCGGTCGCCCTCATTAGCCTCCCTAGTTCGAACTTGGTCGCTAGTGTAGATGTACCCTTTGAGATCTGGGTGACGGCCTATCCCACAGTGAAGCTACCAAAATCTTCTAAAGAACTGGCAGTGTCTTCTTTAGTAGGAAGTTCCTTCAGTCCTTGGCAAAATCATAGAAGGAATCTTCAAGAAATCCATTTTGAAGCTCTTGGAAAAGAGGGAAATGGTCAGGAATTGTCAAAATGGATTCCTCAAGAGAAAGTCAAGCCTTGCCATCCTGATTGCCTTCCATGATGAGGTAACTGGTTCTCTGGATATGGAGAAGGCAATGAACGTGATATAGCAATTTTGAAGTTAGCAAAATTTTAATATTTCCCCCCGGGTAGACAGAAAGCTGGATAGATCATATTTCTCAACAAAGTTGGTTATCGGCTCGCTGTCTAGTTGGTGGTCGCTATCGAGGAGAGTGCCCCAAAGATCAGTTCTAGGACCATTTTTGTTCAACATTTTATTAATGACCTGCATGAGGGGATGGATTGCAACCTCAGCAAGTTTCAAGCTATGGCTCCTGGTTGTTGTGAGGAAGGAATTCTATCCTCCCTTAGACCAGTCCCTTACTCCCCCTCTGCAAGTGCATAAAAGGCAATTAGCCAGGACAAAGAATTGGTGTCCCTGGCCTCTGTTTGTCAGAGGCTGGAGAAGGATGGCAGGAGACAAATCGCCTGATCATTGTCTTCGGTCCACCCCCTCTGGGGCACCTGGTTCTGGCCACTGTTGGCAGACAGGCTACTGGGCTAGATGGACCTTTGGTCAGACCCAGTACGGCCATTCTTATGTTATTATACTCTTATGTACTCACCCCTAAATCCCCTTCCCAGTTTTAGCCTATAGGGCTAACCCACTTGCTTCCCTATACTCTATTGTATAGATTTCTTATTTCCTTAGGGTTTAAATATTTGGTGATTATAACAGGTTTATGCTGAAGTAGTTTGGCTGTAACACAAGAGGCCTACGGGCTACATCCTGTATGTTGAGTTAAAGCAAATTTAGATTATAGTTGGGACCTCCTACCTAGATAAAGAGTGGTAAGATGAAGCAACTTTTCATGGCATTACGGGCTTCCAAGTATACCCCCAAACTTAACAGAGTCCCATTCTGACTTGCAAAAACCCTGAAATACCCAGTTAAGACCAGACCGAGTAACTGGAGTAAGATAAAAATAACAAATGTGATCTGTAAACCACAAAAGGGACCATGGTAGGAAAGTGATGTATATGAAAAAAAGAAAAACAAAAAACATGTCACCATTAGAGGGGGAGGAAATACAAATAAGGCAATAGGAAAAGGTCCCCTACTGAATATGTATCAAACATGAAATAGTCAGCATAATATATAAAAATGCCATCCCAACCAATGTGCAGGAGGACTCAGAGATGTATTCCTTGGGAGGTTCAAGAATGATGGCCCTTGGTGACCATAGGGAAGGTAATGGTGATGAGGAAGATGATGGACGTTCTAGAAGGATATTTCGGATGTTTAGGATGTTCTAGAAGGAGCAGTGAATGTGGAAATATAGAACTACATTCCCAGTCTATCTGTCTAAGTTAGGGTGTTTGCGACTTTTCTAAGTATATTAATAAAATATATTTGTAAGCACAAGACAGTTCTTGTAGTGTGAGTGTTGCAACTGTGCACATCAGATTCCCAACCAAACTATAATTTAAATACTGCACGTGATCCGGTGTCAAGATCCTGTCAACCCTCAAGGTAACTGGAACTCTGAGTCACGACTCAACTACTGTATCAGAGGTAGCCAGGGGAGAGGGTAGCAGGAGTCACTGCTGGGAAGAGTTGACATAAAAGAAGGCATTGTTGGCAATCAGGTTGCTGAGGCGTGATTTGCCCTTGGTGAATCCATGTTGAGAGTTCCTTATTATTTTTCTCTCTTCCAACTGCTTCAAAATGGATTCCTTGGGAATCCCTTTTTTTATTTTCCCCAGAACTGAGGGGACTTTCTACTAAATAAGATGGTGCCAGTTCTTCAGAAGATTTTGGTGGCTTCACTCCATGAGAAGTGTCACCCAGACATGTGAGATAATAAGAATAAGGGTTGGTACAGCAACCATCTTTGGAAAGTCAAATGTGCATTGGGTTATCTCCTCATAATTCTGGTGAGGAAGGATATAAAGCAAATGGGCCACCCCGAAGAACAGAGCACAAAGAATGAAGGAAACAGGGCAGTTGAATGGGTAACATTATTCAGGAGTAATAAAATATGATATTTGATATTTGAAAGCTGTTTTGGGGGGAGAAATTTGTGAATTAACTTGCCTCTCCCCATTTATTTCTGATTATCATTATAGAGAAAAGGGATCTGAGCTCAGCTGACTATATATAATGCACTGCCACTGTTTTTTAAAAGAAAATAAATTCCCCTTGAGAATGCTTGCAGGGTGAAAGACTGAGGGTATGTCTACACTACTCCCCAGTTCGAACTACCCCCCTATTTCATGAGGCGTACAGATAGTTCGGACTAGAAGCCTAATCCGAACTATCTAGTCTGTGCCGCGTGTAGGTGCGCGGCACGGGGTTCGCACTAGCCGGCTTTTAAAAATGGCGGCGCCGGCTTTATGCTAATGAAGCCCGGGAAATTCAAATCCCGGGCTTCATTAGCAAGTTCGGTATGCATACATTACCCCCCTAGTTCAAACTAGAGGGGTAGTGTAGACATACCCTGAGGGAACAAGGATGTGGACCTGCACAAAAGGATGGAGCTATGAGGAGGAGATGGAAAATGGGTAGAGGAAGAAGTCTGTGTCTGTGTTTGTGTGTGGGGGGGGGGGGGGGGGGAGGTTCTGCCTTTAGGATTAACCAATGAGCCCAGGCTCATCAATAATTGTGTAAACAAGTGCACGTTCACATCCGTACTCTGAGCACGGATTCGAAGAGAAGCTCAGACGCTCTGCTGGACTCCAAGCCCTTCTCCCTCCTTGCTGTGTCCTTACATCTGCAGAGCCCTTTCTATGTGACCAGAGATAAAGAGGGGGGTGGGAGAGAAGAAGGAGGATTGGAGGGCATTTGAAGTTTGATCACATGACACCCTAAAGCACACAGTTAAGGTAACTATCACCCCATGGACTGGGCTGTGTGTGGGGCAGGGCTCTGCTTTGGAGCAGGGTAGCACTAGGTTAACATGGCTGGGGAAGCCTGGCTGAAGCAGATGCAGGTGTCCCAGGTGGAGATGGGTTGTGGGAATGAGGGGCTTAGCTCAGTGTGAAGCTTGGGCTGATGTCTTGTGCTTGAGGTTCTGCCTATGATATGTGAGCCCAGCAGGACAGGACAGGAGACCAACTACGGGCTTAATGGGATGGGAGGGAAGGATACATTGGAAGGCAGGGTGGCTACCTGTCGTGGGGAATGTCGTGGGGAATTATGAGGCAGTTGGTACAGAAGAGGAGAGATGCATGGCCCGTCTTCTCTCACTCACTTACAATTGCTGTGACAGCCATGTAATAACCACGTCAAAGTCTAGGGTCTTAGAACACGGAGGAGATTTCTGTCACTCAGTGTGCTCATGAAAACACTCACACAACTTTGCAATACACCACCACAACCAGCTGCTTTTATTTCAGTCAGACTGAAGTCATACTGCAGAATAGAGCGCCTCTTTCTGGATTTTCTTCAAGATTTTCATTGCAAGGCATTTTCTTCCAGCTTCCCAGAAATGATGCCTTGAGAAACTTTGTTGTCATCACTCCTGTGGACCCTGAATAATAAGACATTACATTAGAAAACTACAGTTTTCATACAAATGGCCGAATATATGTGAGATCTCGTGGTGAACAAGTGATTTCACAGAGAACTGGGCAAGGCCAAAAGATTGTATCTATCTTTAAAAAGGGACCAAACAGGAATGGGAAAATTATACATCCATCAGCCACTCTTCATTTTTTGGAAAGACACTGAAACTAATTCTGAAATCATTAACTTGTAAACACCTGGAGGCTAACAGTCAACATGTCTTTGTCTAGACTAAATCCTGCCAATACAATCCATTTTCATTCTTTGACGGGATTACTGTCTAGTGGGCTGGGAGATGCCATAGACATGATATAGCTCAGTAAGAGTTTTAGTAAGAGTTTGCCACAGTTGCACATGACTTTCTCATGTGCAAACTAGGAAAATGTAGTCTAGGTGCTATTACTATTAAGTGGAGGCGAAGTGGTTGAAAGAACACAATCAAACAGCAATTGTCAATGGTTCACTTTCAAACTGGTAGGGTGTGCACATTGGGGCCCCACAGTGGTCAGTCCAGGGTCCAGTTTGATTTCCTGTGTTCCTTTGTCTAAGGCTATGTCTAGCCTATGCGGAAGATTCGAAAGAGGATATGCAAATTCTGCAGGAATTTCCATATCTTCTTCTGATCTCATTTTCGAAAGCGGAGCTCTCCGCGTAATTTGCATATCCTCGTTCGAATCTTCCGCATAGAGTAGCCCAGCCCATTGCTTTCCAGGACACAGTTCCCCACTTTTTTTGTTCTTAGGTGAATACTCTTATTTGTAACTGCATTAAGCTATTTTTCTTTTTGCTTGGGTCCACTTCAGCAAGTGACTGAGATTCTTCGGTTACCTGCCTTCCCTTCTTCATTATTTCCTACTGCTGCTTTTTTAAAGTTCTTTGCTATCTTTGTCAGTGATGATTTTAAGGTTTCTTCCTGGTCATTAAACATACATGTTAAATGGTGCATGGTCAAGAACTAATCACTACAGACCTACAAGAAATGTTCTGCTATGAGTCAGGGTGTGTCTACACTCTACTGTTATTAACAACTAGCCAATGAGCCCGCCATAAGATGGGATTTTCAGGTCTTCTTTCCTAACCTCTCTCGCTCTGTCTCTCTCTCTCTTTTTCCTCCTACTGCC